TCATGAATAACACTAGGCAGCTGGCAGTAATGCTACAGTAAGAGCCACTGTCCTGAGATCATTTATATGGGTTGGGACCCTCCCCTCATTGCACAGATTCCTTCTCCCTTCCTAAAGTTTTGCCCACTAAAAATTATCCTCAATAGGAGTAAATAATGTTAATTTTTATTAAAAGACAGAAGTTATAAATACAGAATAATGACTAGTAAGTAAAAATAAATATGCACAGGAACAAAATTTTTAAAAAGATTTTTTAAGCATGATTGTACATTGAATTGTGTTTTATTTTCTATTTCCCAGTGATAAAAATGATTGTGTTAACTTTTATGATGAGAAAAAGAGAGCCTGTTTATGTATTTATTCCATTGAAATCATGCTAAGGATTTTCTGTTCTAGGGGAAAGCTATGTCTGGAAGGAACAAGTAGCTAACTGTTTCATTTTGGTCAGGGTATTTACAGAAATTCCTTCCTAGATTATGCTTTCAGCACTTCCTCGAAGGAACTATCAGAGCTTCTTAAAATGAAGTAGGAAGTGACCTGACAAGAGCTCTGTTTTAGAAAAACAACTAGCTCAATTGTGGACTGGCTTGTTGTGGGTCTGAAGGTGGGGAACAAAACCGGCTCCCTTCCAGGAACCTGGGGAGAAGATGAGCCATCCTTGGGCAGGGACAGTGAATCAGAGAGGAAGGGGGCAGAATGGGAAGCAGACCCTTCAGAGTAAACACATCCAAAGTTAAACTGCCCTTTTCAAACCAGACTTCCCTCCCCAACCCAGGAAACACTTCCCTCGCCTGCTTTTCTCATCTCTGGATGGCAGGACCTGACACCTGGTGCCTGAGACAGAAACTTTAACTCCTTAATCTCCTAATCCCTACCCAGTCCATCCCCAAATCCTATTGTTCTTTTTCTTAAATATCTCTTAAATCCTGCATTTTTCTCTCCCTCTTAGTTTCAGTCACTGTAATCTCCTGCTTGAATCTGTGAAAGAGTTTCTGGATTGCTTTCCTCTTGTCTCTGTCCATCCGAAACTGAAAAGCTCCTCCTTTTCCTCCTTTCCTCTCCTCTGGTGGCTTCTCAGTGCTTTGAGGAAGCAGTGCCAGCTCTTTTAAATAGCTTCCAAGGCTTGGACAGAGCTAGACCTCATCTAGATTTCCAACCCTGTGTTTCATCTTCCTCACTTGTCGTGTAGACTTTGACCTCTCGTGGAACTATCCAGGTCCCTTGTTCACTATTAGATGTCTCCTATGATAGCATTCCTCACATGTATCTATTGTATTTGCTTCACAGTCTATGTTCCCTACTAGACTGTAAACTATGAGTGTGCAGGGAGCTGTAGCTGACTAATTGCTTTTGTATCAAGCTCAGCTAGAATGGTGCTGTAGCACTAGGGGCTCAGCTAGTTGACGAATTAGACAGATGGAGGAATGAAGGAGAAATGAAGGAATGGCAGGAAGGAAATAGAAGTCTTGTAAGTAGGGATTGTGATGATCCCAGTGACTTCATGAATAAGGACAAGGGAAAAAATGGAACAGTCAAAAAATTCTGAGACTTCCATTAAGCAGCTGGTCACAGTATGGCCATACTGTTGTATTGAGATTAAAAAGAAAGAAGAGTAGTTTGAGTGGGAGCATAATGAGTTCAGCATGAACATCTGGTAGAGGTTCAGCACAGCAGAAGAAGATCTCAAATGGAGCTAAGGAGAGAAGTTTGAGCCCTAGTGGTGACCTAGGGCACAGGAGTGGGGGAGGCCTCCCAGAAAGTATATATTGGGGCAAGAAGATAGCTGAGGCTGAAATTCATGAGACCATAACACTTAGCCAAAGAACTCCTGAGTGGCCACTTAGGAGCCCACACATTGAAACACAATGAAACCCTGCTTTCATTGGGTTTGTAAGCTCAGGAGGAATTTGAAAAAGTGTGCCTGATTCAGTAACTTTGGAGGTAGAGAGAAAGGAACAACTTCCTGATAGAAGTTGTTAGCTCTCTGTGTCTTACTTCTTTCAGAAAGTCCTCTGTGTTTCCCACATTTAATACATTAATGTTTGCTTTTCTCTAGGATCACTGAATGTACCAGGGCTGAAATGTTAACACAGACATTTCACTCATATGATTTTATATGTTTAAAATTTTGTGTTCATTGCAGCATGCTGTTTAAAGAATACACAGCTGTTTGAATTGACATGTGAATGTGCAAATGTATTTTCCTTCTCTGCTTCTGTACTTCACTTGAAACTATTTTGGTTGAAATCCAGTTTGATACTGAAATGATTTCTAGAACGTGAAACGATCCATTGTTCTTACTTTAGTGTATTTGTCTGATTGACATTTGGCTCTGATAATCTGGAGCCTTTTGTATGTGAAACAAATTGGATCATTTGCAAAACTTGTCTAGCTTTTATAACTCTACAAGTCATCACAGATTCCATTAATCAGTATCCTATTAGCATGGTCATTGTTTATTTTTTTTTTTTTAAGATTTATTTATGTGTAAGTTAGAAGTAGACACACACACACACATACACACACACACACAGATCTTCTATCCACTGGTTCATTCCCTAGGAGGCCACAATGGCCAGGGCTGGGCCAGACTGAAGCCAGGGGCTTCTCATGGGTGTGCAAGGATCCAAGCACTTGGGCCACCCTCCGCTGCTTTCCCAGGCACATTAGCCTTTGCTGGATGAGAAGTGGAGCAGCTGGGACTCAAACCAGCACCCATATGGGATGCTGGCACTGCAGATGGTGGCTTAATCTGCACCATAGCACTGGTCCCCATTGTTTATATTTTGCCAGTATTTATGCCCCCTTTTCACTACTTCCCACATTTCCCATATTCAGTCATTAATTTGATAAATATTTGCTGAATGCATCCTTTGTGTTGACCGCTGTCTGAGCTCTGTAGATACCGATAAGCGAAACAAGCATGGTCCCTGCTCCCCATGGCATTCAGTAAGCACCATTTCATTGACTGGAATTTCTATCCTTGAAGCGTGCTTATAGAGTGCTTTTCCACACAGGAACTTTGAGTATGTAGTAAAAATACTGGTACTAATACCTGCTACTCTGTTGGGCTTCAGCTGTCTCTACTATATACCATGCAATGTCCTTATTCACTGAAGTATTTTTTATTAATTAGGCTAGATCTTGTGTTGCTCTGTTTTCTGCTGCTAGAGCAAAATACTTGAAATGTTTAGCTCATAATTTTGGAGGTCCAAGACCATGTTGTCTGCATGACGGCTTCCTTGCTATACCACAGCGTAGCAGATGACATTATGGTAAGAACTTATTTAAGAAAAAGAGTTCACATGACAAAAGCAGGGAGTAAGAGAAATTCAAGGGCCAGTCTTGCTCTTTTTATAATAATCTATTCTCATGGAAACTAACTCTAAGAGACCAGCATTAATCTCTTGCACTAGGCCACACCCTTTAAAGTTTTCTCACCACCTCAACACTCCCACACTAGACCAAACTTCCAGCACATGAGTTTCTGGGATACACACTCAAACTGTATGCAGACCATTACAGATACTAGCAGTGTGGAAAGAGATCATTTAAGCCCATATTACCTAAATAATTTCAAACTGAAAGATACATAATCTATAATGCAGGGCTAAAAACATCAGAGTCATATGGACCTGTGCTTCTGACCAGACTCCCCATGATTAGCTGTGTGATCATGTATTTACTGCTTAGCTTGTCTGAGCCTTGTTGTAATTTGGTTTGTGAGGTTGAAATATCCATGCTACATACCTTATATAGCTTATAGTTATGATTACATGTAATAACATAAAAATACCTAGCATAGAGCCTGGCTCAATGTAATGTATCAATAGGGTATCATTGCTGTCACCTGTGAAATAAAACTCAACTTTTAAGCCACTTCCACTCTTTCTGACCACAAAACCTACTTGCTAGAAGACTTATACTCTACTAATAGTATTTCACTTCCAAGTGAAAACTTTAAAATAGGGAAATAGTATGGGAGTGGATTCCATTTTTAATAGTCTATTTTCCATAAAAGGACAGCAACTTCAGCATCAGAAAATGGTAAGGAAGTGGGAGCATTTCTTTTTTTTTTTTTTTTTTTTTTTTTTTGACAGGCAGAGTGGACAGTGAGAGAGAGAGAGACAGAGGTCTTCCTTTGCCGTTGGTTCACCCTCCAATGGCCGCCACTGCTGGCGCGCTGCGGCCAGCGCACTGCGCTGATCCGATGGCAGGAGCCAGGTGCTTCTCCTGGTCTCCCATGGGGTGCAGGGCCCAAGGACTTGGGGCATCCTCCACTGCACTCCCTGGCCACAGCAGAGAGCTGGCCTGGAAGAGGGGCAACCGGGACAGAATCCGGCGCCCCGACCGGGACTAGAACCCGGTGTGCCGGCACCGCAAGGTGGAGGATTAGCCTAGTGAGCCGCGGCACCGGCCCGTGGGAGCATTTCTAAGGAGAATACATGTAATTGTTTTATTAACATAGTTGGGTAGAAGTTTTAGGTTTCTAGAGTTTTAAAAGACTAGAAAATTGGTAAAAGAAGCAAAAATGAATGTTTGATTAAAAAATAAGACTGCGGCATTATGTTTATCTTCTTGTATCTGAAAGCCATACTTCTAAGGAGCTGATTAGAAGACCATTGATTTCATACTTACTTAATCTCCTTTGATGCCATTCTTCAACTCTGCAATAGTTAATAATCTTCTATAATGTTTAGACTTTAGTGTAAAATTATGGAAAAGGAAAAAATCAAGATATAGGAAGTTAATTTACAGATTTCTTTTAAAATAAGAATAGATTAGAACTAGTATGCATGCTTAGAAGTATATTTAAAAAAACCACCTTTATATCATAGGCGACATATTACAAATGTTTGCCAGTTGTGTTTTCATTAACAAAAAATTAAAACAGTACAACTTTGAGAAAATAGTTTTTGATAAAAGATTCTTCTGCTTTGGTATAAAATGAGCTCTAAGCAAAAGCTTTATTTTGTTTAATGATGTCTGTGTAATTACAGGGTGTAGGAAAAAATAAGATTGTGGACCGATTCCTTCACCTGCTCAATAGACCCCGAGAATATATCCAGCTGCATAGGTAAGAGTATCAGACCCAAGACCTCTCAAAATATGATTTAATCTTTTATTTTTCTCCTGATGCAATTACAAATACGTTCTTAAATGCCCATTTTATAAACCAGTTTCCTTCTGTTCTCCTGCTCTTATCTCTCCTCTCCTTAAAAGGTAATAAAATCATGCAAAATTTATTTTTAAAGTGACTAATGCTTTATAAACATGAATTAATAGATATTTTGTGGACATAGAGTGATGAACATTACATTCTAGGAGCAGACCTCATCAACATTATGGCTCTTAAATTAGAAGAAAACTATGTAGAGCCTAAGCCCATTCTCTAGCAAGAAGCTAAAATAGCTTACAAGAAGGAACAGTAAACTATATGAATTTAAGATTTGAGATAAGGAACTCAGAAATATGGAAAAAGTATGCTTTTAATGTCTCCTTGCCTTCCTTTTAAACATTTGGTGGGTTATTTATTTTTGTATAGACAGAATACTGGTTCCAGAATAGTTTTGATCAAATAGATTTCCTCAGTACAAACCATTTTTAAATTTATAGGTGAAGCCATTTTAAATCTGTAAAAACAAAATATTAGCAACAGATTTACCAGAAACAAACAACAGCAACAAAACTAACATCAAACAAAAGAGAGATATGGAGATATGTAACAAGTAATGAGCAATTTAGAGCTAACTTAGGTTATTATTATTTTAATTCCATGAGATTAGATATTATACATTGGATGGAGTTATAATTAGTCTGATTTGGGTCCTTTGGCTAAATAATTATGAGTTCTTAAGAAAGAACTATAGAAGAATGAGAGTAAATTTAATAGGTCAATGGAGAAAGAAGGAAGGACTGAAGGAAGCTGAGTTACTATCAAAAATTCCCTCTAGGAATTAACACCTCTGGCTGTGACAGATTGACAGATTAAAGTACCAAATTAGCTCAACCAGAATAAAAAAACTATAACTGGGCAGATTTCACAAATAATGAGAAAAGAACAGCTACCAGAACTCGTACCTGGTTGGAAGTCTTCAGTAAACCTATCTTGTATTCATAAGGTATCTTGTGAGTGAAATTGACATGTTGAGATTTGGTTGTTCTTTATAGCCCTTGTTTTACTCTTGAGGAACAGTGGGTTTTCTACTTACTGCTTGTTGTGTTCTTTATTTGGTCGACAATTAAGCTTGTAATTATAAAATAAACAAACTATGTCATTGTAAAAATTTTTTTAAAAATAAGGGAGGATGGAGGGTGGGAGTGTGTGTGGGAGGGAGTATGGGGTGGGAAGTATCAATATGCTCTTAATCTGTATATATGAAATACATGAAATTTGTTCACCTTATATAAATTTTTAAAAATCTCAAAAAAAGAAATAGAATTAATGGAACAAGAAAAGAAAAAAAGAAGTAGGACTAATTTATCCTAAAAGTAAAAACTACTCTATGCCCACCCTTAAAAGGATTAAAAATAAATCTTGAAGAAACAAAGATATTTGCTGTTTAACATCATTTTCGAAGGTTTCTCATAAAAATTGATTTAAAAATAAAATCAATGAGTGTTTAGAAAGGCAGATGGGCATGTCTTGAGAAGATCAAAATATTTCAAATGTAAATGTATTGCTTACCTGAACAAAATTTGACACTTAACTAAGGAAGATTGCAAAATCCAAACACTCACCAACATAACATTCATAATGTCAAGCATTCAATAGAAAATTGCTAGACATATAAAGAAGCAAGAAAATTGGTCAATAGAATTAAAAATAATAGATGAAGAAATTAGCAGATAAAGCCTATAAAACAGTTGACATAAGTGTATCAAAGGGGGAAAATTAATATAAAAAAGGAGTAATTAGAAATTCCCAGTACAGAAATGGCAACTCAGAAAAACAGCATACATACCAGTAATTTGAGTCTCAAAAGAGAGGAGGAAAAAAAAAAGTACAAAATGCTGTTTAAAGAGGTAATGGTGATAAAAATCTCCAAATTTGATGAAAAGCATAAAGCCACCAATCCATGAAGTTTGGTGAACTCAACCAGAATAAAAAGAAAACCACAACATGACATATCATAGTCAAATTTGTGAAAACCAAGAGAAAATTCTTAAAAGTGCCAGAGGAAAAATATTGCATACAGAAAAACAATGATAAAAATGACTGATGACTTTTCAGAAGAAAAATATAAACCACAGTTCTATCCCACTTTACTAGATGGAAGACATCTCATCAGAAACTTTACTGGCCAGGAGAGAGTAGAGGGTGACTTTCACAATTCTGAAGGAAAAAAAATCTGCCAACCAAGATTGTGTATCAGCCAAACTACCCTTTAGGTGTGAAGAAGAGATAAAGATATTCCCAGACAGACAAAAGCTGAGAAAATTTACCATCACCAGACCTGTTCTACAGGATATCCTAAAGAGAGTCTTCAAATTGAAAAATGGTAGCAAGTAAAAAGAAACTATCAAAAAGTAGTAACCTCATAGAATAAAGGGTCCAGAAGTAACTTCTTGCATCTACAGCCTACTGATCTTTGATAAAGATGATAAGAAGGTGCATCATTGAAGGGACAATCTATTAAATAAATGCTGCTGGGAAGTTTTGATATCCACATGCAAAAGAATGCAACTAAACACTTATATTTCACCTTATACAAAAATGAACTCAGAATGGACTAAACACATAGATGTAAACCTGAAACTACAAACCTGTTCTAAGACAACAGGTGAGGGGGCCAGTATTTTGATGTAGTGGGTTAAGCCACCACCTATTATATCAGAATCCCATATGGTTCCTTGTCCCAGCTGCTCCCCTTCTGATACAGCTCCCCGCTAATGTGCATAGGAAAGCAGTGGAAGATGGCCCAAGTACTTTGGCCCCCGCCACCAACATGGAAGACCCAGATGAAGTTCCTGACTTCAGCCAGGCACAGCTCTGGCTATTACAGCCATTCAGAGGGGATGAAGCAGCAGACAGAAGATCTCTCTTTGTTGCTATCTCTCCCTCTTTCTCTTTAACTTTACCTTTCAAATGCATAAATAGATCTAAATAAGAAAGAAAAAAAGAAATGCTTCAGAGCATTGTAATATATTAGGATTTTATTGATAGGATCACCAAAACACAGGAAAGAAAAGGAAAAATGGATATATAGGATTTAATCAAACTAAAAAATCTTCTGCACAGCAAAGGGAATAATCAGCAGAGTGAGGAACTACCGAATGGCAGAAAAGTATATCTGACGAAGGGTTAATAACCAGAATATATAAGGAACTCAACAGCATAGAACAAATCATCTCATTAAGAGGGGCATGTATTTAGCACAGTGTTTAAATTGCTGCTTGGAATGCCTGCTTCTCATGTCAGAGAGCCTGATTCAGGTCCCAGCTCTGCCACTTCCAATCCACCTGTGCTAAAGCAGCTCTGCCACTTCCAATCCACCTGTGCTAAAGCACATCGTGGGAGACATCAAGTGGTGGCTCAAGTATTAGATTCTGCTACCCATGTAGGGGGACTCAGATGGAGTTTCAGGCTCCTGGCTGCAGCCTGGCCCGCCACAGGCTGCCACAGATATTTGGGGTGTGCCAGCAAATGAAAACTTGCTCACCTGTGTGTGCACTCTCTCTCCCTCTCTCTCTCTGCCTTTCAAACAAAATAAAAATAAATAATATATTTTAAAAATCTTTAATGAGCAATAGATCTGAATAGACATCATTTCTCAAAAGAAGATACACAAATGACCACACCAAATGCATTAAAAAAAAAATGTCAACACTAATTATCAGGGAAATGCAAATCAAAACCACAAAGAAATATCACCATATCACCTCAATCCAGTTAGACCAACTATTATCAAAAACTAAAAGATACCAGAGGCTGGTAAGGATCTGGAGAAAAAGAAACCCCCTTTCGCTGCCGGCGGGCATGTGAATTAGTACAGCCATTGTGGAAAATAGTATGGAAGTTCCCAAAAACCAGAAATAGAACTACCATATAATCTACATCCTACTCCTGGTTATATATGCAAGGGAAGGGAAATCAGTCTGTCAAAGAGACAAGTGCTGTTCCATGTTTATTACAGCACTACTCACAATAGCCAAGAAATGGAAACAACCTAACTGTCCTTTACTGATGAATATATAAAGAAAACGCAGTACATGGCTTTGAGGGAATACTATTTGGTCATTTAAAGAGGGTGAAAGAGGAGAACTGCCTGATCTGAATTATCTATAGATTATTAAAAAAAAAGTTCTCATAGAATGTGAGAGTGGACTTAGGTTTCAGAGGCTGGGGAGAGTGGAGGGGAAGATGGGAAGAGAGTTGGCTAATAGAGTAGTAAGTTATAGATAGTAGGAAGAAGTTCTGCTGTTCTCTTGCACAGTATAGTCACTATGGTCAATGTTAATATACTATGTACAGTTTTTAAAGAAAAAAACAGAAGAGGATTTTGAATGTTTTCTCTAAAAATAAATGACAGATATTTGAGGAGATTGTGATATTTACCCTGCATTGATCATTGCATACTATATACATGAATGGAGACATTACACAGTACCTCATGAATATGTATAACTCTTATGTGACAGTTACAATAAAACTTAAATAAATATAAACCACAATTCAGTGGAACAGTTGTTTTTAAAGTTTGAAAGAAAAAATCAATAGAGAATGGTATATTCAGCAAAAATACTCTTTAAAAGTAGAGGTAAAATACTTTTTGAGACAAATAAAAGCTGAGAGGCCGGCGCCGCGGCTCACTAGGCTAATTCTCCGCCTAGCGGCGCCAGCACACCGGGTTCTAGTCCCGGTCGGGGCGCCGGATCCTGTCCCGGTTGCCCCTCTTCCAGGCCAGCCCTCTGCTGTGGCCCGGGAGTGCAGTGGAGGATGGCCCAGGTGCTTGGGCCCTGCACCCCATGGGAGACCAGGAAAAGCACCTGGCTCCTGGCTCCTGCCATCGGATCAGCGCGGTGCGCCGGCAGCAGCGCGCCGGCCGCGGCGGCCATTGGAGGGTGAACCAACGG